AAACCCAGTGACTTAAACTCACTCCGGGCACATGTGCAAGTGTACCCAAGATCCCGAGAGAATGGAGGAGAAGGGATTGTGGTGTGGCCATTCCCCCGGGGGGTGATTTCTCGCTTTCTGTCTCTCTAGCGAGCGCACGCACCCTATAGCAAAAACCTCTCAAAAAGAACCTGCCATTGTCTGAATATTCCCAAATTTATTTATGCTTTCACCTATTGAAAGACATCTTGGTTGTTCTCAAGTTTTGGCCATTATAAATAAAGCTGCCATAAATACCCATGCACAGATTTTTATATAAGAATGTTTTCAACTCATTTGGGTAAATACCTCACCATATAAGTGTTAGGTCATATGGTAAAATTATGATTGGTTTTGTAAGATTTATCTTGTAATTTCTTTTTTCTTTTTTTTGGAGAGGTTTTTGCTATAGGGCACGTGCGCTCGCCAGACAGACAGAGAGAGACAGAGAGACAGAAAGCGAGAAATCACCTCCTAGAGGGGATGGCCATGCTGCAATCCCTTCCCCTACATTCTCCTCTCGGGATCTTGGGCACTCACGCACACGTGCCTGGCATGAGTTTAAGCCACCGGGTCTGGGACACGAACTGCAGTCAACTATGTGGGAGTCCAGAGACATAGCCATTACGCGAAACACTGGTCCCTATCTTGTAATTTTGATGATAGTGTTTATGATTAGTTTTTTTTCTCTTTCATTAAGTAGTTTGCCTAATATCACTGGAATTAACCTCTTGATAGAAATATTCGTTGGGGGCCAGCCAGGGTTATGGTGATTCAGGTGGGTGGATCCTACATGACTGATTTTGCAGTTTGAGTCCTGGATCCAATGGCTTGAGAAACATGCTGGGCACATGTGCATGCATACTCATAATCCCAAAAGGAGGGAAAGATGAAGGAGAGGGGATTGTAACATGACCATGCCCCATGGGAGATACTTTCTCACTTTTCCTCTTTCTCTGTCTCCTTTTTTGCAAGCACATATGCCCTTCAACAAAATATATATATATATATTCTTTGTATTCAGAGAAGATAAACCTGACTAACTACCGTCGATTGTGGGAGAACCTGAAGAAGCTAAATTAATGAACCTTTTATCTTTTTCTCTTCTGTTTTCACTTCCTAAAAAAAGCTTACAAGGTTGTGGGTAATGTGTGACTTTGATTGTTAAAATAAAGACATTGGTCACCCTGTGACTGATACCAGAAATGTTGCTCTAGATTGTAGTATAAGGTCCTGTGTCCTTGGAAACCCCTCAGTCCTAAGGGGAAAAAAAAGGGTCTCAAATCACTGGGTTTTTCTGTTCTTCTTAATTTATTTATTTTTTTTTTCAGTTTTTGCTCTATGGTGCATGCATTAACCAGAGAGAGAAAGAGAGAGACAGAGAGAGAGAGAAAGAAAGAAATCACCCCCCAGGTGGGATGGCAATGCCACAATTCCTTCTCCTCTGTTCTCCTCTCAGGATCTTTGTCACACATACACAATGCCCAGCATGATTTTCAAGTCGCTGAGTCCCAGATTCAGACTGCACAGTCAACCATATGGGATCCAGCGCTTTAACCTCCATGTCACCTTTCTTTTGGGTAGCTATGAGTTTCCAAAAAAATAATTTCTTCCCTTTCTTTCCTTCTTTTCTTCCGTTCTTTCTTTCTCCTTCCTTCCTTCCTTCCTTCCTTCCTTCCTTCCTTCCTTCCTTCCTTCCGTCGATTGTGGGAGAACCTGAAGAAGCTAAATTAATGAACCTTTTATCTTTTTCTCTTCTGTTTTCACTTCCTAAAAAAAGCTTACAAGGTTGTGGGTAATGTGTGACTTTGATTGTTAAAATAAAGACATTGGTCACCCTGTGACTGATACCAGAAATGTTGCTCTAGATTGTAGTATAAGGTCCTGTGTCCTTGGAAACCCCTCAGTCCTAAGGGGAAAAAAAAGGGTCTCAAATCACTGGGTTTTTCTGTTCTTCTTAATTTATTTATTTTTTTTTTCAGTTTTTGCTCTATGGTGCATGCATTAACCAGAGAGAGAAAGAGAGAGACAGAGAGAGAGAGAAAGAAAGAAATCACCCCCCAGGTGGGATGGCAATGCCACAATTCCTTCTCCTCTGTTCTCCTCTCAGGATCTTTGTCACACATACACAATGCCCAGCATGATTTTCAAGTCGCTGAGTCCCAGATTCAGACTGCACAGTCAACCATATGGGATCCAGCGCTTTAACCTCCATGTCACCTTTCTTTTGGGTAGCTATGAGTTTCCAAAAAAATAATTTCTTCCCTTTCTTTCCTTCTTTTCTTCCGTTCTTTCTTTCTCCTTCCTTCCTTCCTTCCTTCCTTCCTTCCTTCCTTCCTTCCTTCCTTCCTTCTTTTTCCTTCCTTCCTTCCTTCTGTGAGCAAGAACATCAGAGAAAAAGAGAGAGGTACTGCACTCTCACTAGGATACTGATGTTGCAATCAAGCCCCAGCTCCAGCCTCAGCCAACCTGGATCATGAGCACACATATGCTGAGTATACAGGGAGGTCTCTAGATGAGAACTGGGAACCTACCCCTGCAGTTTTCCACTGTACCACCACTGGTCTCTTCAAAAATTTCAAGTTGCTGCATACTCAACAGACAATGTGTCTGAGATAGCATGAGTAGAAGTGGAACACACACTAAGACCCAAGGCAAGAGCCTTGACCCAAACAGATCAGTGGAGCCTGGTGGAGGCTGTAGATGGAAGCTTCAACAGAAAGATTCCTGACTTCATCACCAGCCATGAACAAGGTGAAGGGCAATCAAAAGATAGGGTCATTGGTGGCATAGGGAATTTTCAGTTTTCACAGTCTATTTGCTAATTTAGTTATTGGTTATATTTTACTAATTAAGCTCTTTAAAAACCTTGTTTTAAGTGGCCTAGCAAAGGACTAAGCCAGAACTTCCTGTCTCTTCATGTGCTCTTGTCAGGAGTATAGGAGGGGACAGCCTTTAATATGTGACTGGTAACTAAAGGACCTTATGGAAAGAGTATACCACATGTACCTTCTCCATCTATACAACTTCTGAAGGCTGAGTCTGTCATTCTGACTAACTTGGGGGTTTACAAGGATAACTCTCCAAGAGGATAGAACATTTTAAAGGGTTTAAGTAGATGAGCATGAAATGTTGAGCGTAGGTGGGGACAGTTTCTTCAGATACCTCTACCTGACAAAAGCAACCAGAGTGGAAGATCAAGTTCTTTCAAACATCTTCAGAGATGACTGGCTGGATTTCCCCAACCACACCACAGGGGAGCCCCAAATAAGAGGAAAGGAGGAAACATTGTAGGTGAAAATTAGGTTTTTGCCAAGTCCTCCCCACTGCACTGGGTATTTCCTCCAGAGAGAGAGAGACCCTGCTTAGAAAGCGGGCACTGTTCTTGCTGCCCTCCAGGTTCACCTACTTTCAGACTAAGATGGAGAAATTTCCAATGACTAAGTGGAGAAGTTATGCTAGAGCAGTGAGGGCCTCATGTTGGGGCATTCCAAATACGAAGTTAAGAGGAAGCAAGCTGGACATCAGTAGGAGGGAAGAAGAGAGAACATGAGACCGGGCCTTTGGGATGGCTTAGAAACTTACTTCTCCTTCAGCTTTGCGGACTTGCTGATGCGAGGTTGCTTCTCGCTGTCACCTATGTTGTTCAACATCTCACCCAGCTACTTTGCCATGTCTCTAATAGAGATGCCAGGGTTGGTGGATTTGATTTCGGGGAGAAATTCTGAACGGAACAGGAAGAAGCCAGATGGTGGCCTTTTGGGGGCATTAGGGTCCTTTTTCTTCTTGCCTCCTTTAGCTGGTCCATAATTCTTCATTTCCAGATCATAGCGTACTTTATCCACCTTTGCCATTTCATCAAATTTCGACTTCTCTTTCCCAGACATTGTCTTCCACTTCTCAGAGCACTTCTTAGAAAATTCTGTAAAACTGACAGGAATCTCCAGATTTTTCTTCTCATGTTCTTCTCCGCAGGTCTACACAAGATGTCTACATAAGCAGACATCTTGCCCTTTGGTTTCTTGGGGTTATTGTTCATTAGTCTCCATTTCCTTAGTTACTTTCTTTTCTAAGAATTATTTTTATTTAATATTATTATTATTATTTGATTCGAGAGACAGAGAGAGTGAGGGAAAGTAAGAAAGCAAGCCACCAGGTCTAAGACTCAAACTGTGGTTGGCCATGTGGGAGTACAACAGCCTTAACCAGTATGTCACCTGCTGGCCACATTCGTAGTTTATTAAAGAACTTTGTCAAGAAATTTGCAGGACCTTCCCTCCAGCCTGAGTTAGAGAACATTCTAAATGTGCTACAGAGCACCTCAGTGAAAAGAATTCCTGCTTGTCAGTGATTAGCTCTCGTCCCAGGCCTGAGCCGGAACATCCAATGTCTTTCCTATCTTGAAAAGAGTCCTTCAGTTTGGGTCATTCCCTAGAGGTTAGAGATCAAGTCTCTGCCCTGGCTGTTTCACTGCTTCCAAGTCCTGCTATGTTCTGAAGGTTTAAAACCATTTCCTGGTTTTCCACTGCTTCAGAGAATGTTTAGAAAATAGAATATCTGGAAAAACCAAGAAATGAGGTAACAGAGTTGAGTGGAGTCAAGGTTTATTTCCAAAAATGGTGCATTTACTTGAAGGAACTAAGGAATATGGAGGACAAAGAACAAAACAATGACCTGGAAGACTTGAGGAAAAGAATCTCAGATTCATCTTTATACTTACCGAAGTCATTATTCCCAACTTCTCATGATTCACATATGAGCACATGCATACACACAGAGAGACAGGAAACCTGTGAAATTCTGCTAAATACTAACTTTTCACCAAATAAATAGAATAGTAAAATTACAAATATATATTTAACCATGGGAAAGCTGATTTTACTTACAACACTGATACTAAACATAGAAGTGCTTTGTTCTCGTATACTAACCAGTTCTCCAACTCTCTGGACACCAAATAGGTGTTCAACAATTTAATTCTTGTGCTCGCTTTGGCAGTACATATGCTAAGACTGAAATGATACTGACAAGATTAGCATGGCCCCTGTGCAAGGATGACACATAAATTCGTGAAGCATTCCATATTTTGGGGCCGGCAGGTGGTGTGGTGGTTAGGGGTGTTGGACTCCTATATGGCTGGCCATGGTTCCAGTCCCAAACCTGGTGGCTTGCTTTCTCACTTTCCATCTCTCTCTCTCTCTCTTGCTTTGTCCCTCTCTAGTCAAATTAAAGTAAATAAAGGTAAATACAATTTTAAAAAGACATTTAACTATTTATACTATTTAACTTTATTTATTTGTTTTGATTTGACCAGAGAGTAATAGAGGAAGAGAGAGAGAGAAACAAAGAAAGTGAGAAAGCAAGCCGCCAGGTCCAGGACACAAACTGCGGTCGGCCATGTAGGAGTTCAGTGCCCTTAGCTACAACACCACCTGCCCTAAATAAAATAACTTAAAAAAAAAATTCAGTCTTGGGACCAGCAGATGGCATAATGGCTATATGGCTGGACTCCCATGTAGTTGACCATATTTCAAATCCCAGACCCAGTGGGTTAAACTCATGCTGGGCACGTGTGCATGCCCAAGATTCTGAGAGGAGAATGAAGGAGAAGGGACTGTGGTGTGGCCATCTCCCCCCACCCCCGGGGGGGGGGCGATTTCTCACTTTCTGTTTCTCTGTCTCTGTCTTTTTGGCAAGACCATGCACCCTCTAAAAAAAAAAAAAAAAATAAATCTTTGTTTTAGAGGGTTTTTTTTTTTTTTTTTTTGCTTTGCCTTAGGGTGTGTGCACTCACTGAAGAGAGACAGAGATAGTGAGAGGGAAAGTAAGAAATCACCCCCCACCCAGGAGGGATGGCCACACAGTATTCCCATCTCCTCCATTCTCCTCCTGGATCACACATGCCTGGTGTGAGTTTCAGGCCACCATGTCCAGGACTTGAACCACAGTCGGCCATGTGGGAGTCTAGTGCCTTGACCTAACTATGCCACCAGTTGGCCCCCACAGGGATATCTTTACAGAGAAAAAAATGTTACTTTCTTTCCTCTGGTGACATTATTAGGCATGACAGAGTCATCCTAATACCAGAGAGGAAAGATTGATATAAATAACTGAAATAGTACAGTTTAGATACATATTGGCTTTAACTTACAATGCACATCCATTCAGATGTTACATATGCATATTCACAAAGTATGTGAGGTGCCTGTCATGTGAACAAAGTGTAGTTTGGAAGGCTTTGTACCTCTTAGCAGTTTGGTCTTCACTTGGAGGTTGCATTTCCTCTCAGTTTTCATATGCATAGACTTGTCTCATGATGGCACCATTGTGACATCTGTATAGGCTGATCACACCCAGTTCAACTGTTAATTGATTTTAAAACTTCTCTCATGATAGATGGGGCCAAAAACTTGCCTGTTTTCTTTCTAACTTTAGAATGGCAGGCAAATGGGGAAACTCATTTTTTTTTTTTTTAAGGTTTTGGCCATAGGGTGCCTACACTCACTAGAGAAAGACAAAGAGGGGATGGCCTCAATCTCTTCTTCTCCAGTTCTTCCTGGGATTTTAGGCATGCACGCACACACACATATACACACACACACACACACACACACACACACACATGCCCAGTGTGATTTTCAAGCCACCAGGTCTGAGACTGGAACCATAGTCGGCTATGTGAGAGTTCAGTATCCTAACTACTATGCCATCTGCTAGCCTCAGAAAATGAGGAAACATCTACCCAGGAAATTCTATAGCCACCCTAAGTAGCTGTGTGTGTACGCATGCGTGTGCATGTGTGTGTTTTAGTATATATTTTAGGTTTATTTTATTTCTCTACAGAGAGTAAGAGGAGACAAGGCATCCTCTGCAAAGTCTTGTCATGCTGTTATCCTCTTCTCCCAGCCTTCCAATTTCCCAGGACTTTGACTATGCATGCCCAGTGTGTTTCAGTTCAGATAAGGATCCAGACCCATAGTCAGCCTTGTGACTTCCAGCTCTGCAGATCAGTATGCTACCGCCTACACCACTGAGGCTGGGACAAAATATCTTTATCATTTTTCTTTTTAAGAGAAAAGCCTTGTTTTGTTGCCCAGGCTGACTTGGAACTCATGATCCTTCTGCCTCAGCCTCTTAAGTAGCTGGGATTACGAGCATGCATCACCATGCCCCGTTAGCTTTGTACTGTTTAACGCCATACTTTACAATCATCTTGGCCACCGTTTCTGAATTATTATTGTTATGAAAACATATACCACATTATTGTTAGTCTACTTGTGTTATTGTATTCTTATAGGGTTTTTTAGAAATTTTTCTCTTACTATTTATTTATGTATTCATTTTGCTAGAGGGCACAGGCACTAGCCAGAGAGACAGAAACAGAGGGAGAGGAGAAACCAGCCTCCCATAGTGAATGGTCAGACTACAATCCCTTCTCCTCCATCTCTCCCTCTTTTCAAGATTTTTGGACATGCACGCGCGCACACACACACACACACACACAATCTAGTGTGTTTCTCAGTGTGTTTCTCAAACTGCTGGACCTAGGACTTGAACCATGTGGTTGGCTATATGGGATCCAGGCCACAGAACCTGCCCCACTTTATTTCTTGAAGTGTTTGATTTAAATGTGTATGTTTGGGATACTGTTGGAAAAAAAAGAGGTTACTTGTACATTCGAATGGTGGGTAATTAACATGATTTCAGTTGACATTTATAAAAATAAATAAAAGAGAAGAGTTCGTTCTTGTGGGTTTGTATGAAATTGGTTATCTCGTGGCATTATGCTCACATAAGATATGAATAGACTAAACAAAAGCATTCCTGTGCTTGACAGTTACCAGCAAGTTCATGTCATTCACTAAATATTTATTGAAGACTAACTGGGCCAGATACATCTGGGGACGAGCTCACACAACATGACAAGATGCTGTACACTTAGAGTTAACAAGAGAGCAACAACAGACCCTATCACTCTTTGGCTTAAAAATCCTTGGAGGGCCTTGGATCCAAATTGGTTCAGAATATATCCTCCCCATAGAGAGACAAGGCTGAAGAAGCCCAGAAAGTGGAGAAAAAGCTTTAAAACACAGGGCTGTGCCTTTGGTTTTCTATTTTGACCTCTTTGTTCTGGCCTAGTAACTTCAGTTCATGTTTCACATTAATTATCTGGTTTTTTGTTTGTTTTGTTTTTTAGCTTTAAATTTCTTTCTTTCTTTCTTTCTTTCTCTTTCTTTCTTTCTTTCTTTCTCTTTCTTTCTTTCTTTCTTTCTCTTTCTTTCTTTCTTTCTTTCTCTTTCTTTCTTTCTTTCTTTCTGAGAGAGATTTTTGCTATAGGATATGTGTTCACTAGAGAGAGACAGAGAGAGAAAATGAGGATTCACCCCCTGGGGTCTGGCCACCCTGCAGTCCCCTCTCATCCATTCTTCTTTTGGGATTTTAGGCACATGCACACATGTGCCCAGTGTGAGTTTCAAGCTGCCAGATTCGGGACTCGAACCACAGATGGCCATGTGGGTGTGCACCCCAACCATTATGCCACCGCTGGCACCCTTGGCTTTGAATTAATCCTGGCCCATGGGCCCTCACTTTCAGATTCTGTCAGTTCCTATCCATGAACCTTATGTGGGGAGTCTTCCCCTACCCATAACCAAAGCCAGCTTCTGGGACTATAATCCCAGAATGATTCCTGGACTCCCATTTATCTGAGAGAGACATTTGGACATGTTTTGCAGCTTTGAACTGAGAATTCCTTACGTTAGCACACAAGCCCCTTTTAGATTTGACACCTGCTCTTTTCTCTAGCTTATTCTCCTGCCATCCCATAGTTTGTATAGGATCTTCAAAATGTTCATGAAAAATTTGTACTATGAAAAAACTATGCATTGGGACCAGCAGTGAGCATAATGACTATGTCACTGGACTCCCACGTAGTCGACCGCAGTTTGAGTCCCAGACCCGGTGGCTTAAACTCATGTCGGGCGCGTGTGTGTGCATGCCCAAGATCCCGAAACGAGAATGGAGGAGAAGGGATTGCGGTGTGGCCATCCCCCCTGGGGAGTGATTTCTCACTTTCTGTCTCTGTGTGTCTCTCTGTCTGTCTGGCGAGCGCATGCGCCCTATAGCAAAAACCTCTCAAAAAAAAAAAAAACACAAAAAACAACTATGCATGAATTTCAAAAAATGTTTTGTACAAAATAACCTTGTACTTTAATTCCATTTTCCACAAATTTTTTGAAGTCCTTGTAGGTTATGTTCCAGTGCTATTGGATATCTTAAGCAGTTTCTGGAGCATATAATATAATGTCCCATATTATTGTCTTTCATTCTCAAAATGAGCCTTTGTTTTACCCCTAATTCTCCAGCTATTTCCTCTTTTAACTTCGAAGCTAGTGAGTTTCAGTGGTTCAACCTAAGAAGTCCAGTCAAATTGAGATGCTTCTCCTGTAGAATCTCAATCACAGCACTTAATACACTATAGTAATTGCCTCACTCTTCTGTCTCCACCTGGTCCCAGATTTTGTTTTTGGAGAGGTTTTTGCAATAGGGCACATATTCTCACCAGAAAGACAGAGACACATAGACAGAAAATGAGAAATCAACCCCCAGGGGATATGGCCATGCCACAATCCCTTCTCTTCCATTCTCTTCTTGGGATCTTGAGCATGCATGCACACGTGCCCAGCATGAGTTTAAGCCACCAGATCTGGGACTTGAACCGTGGTCAACTACATAGGAGTCCAGTGACACAGCCATTATGCCAACTGCTAATCCCTCCCAGATTTTAAAAGACATTATCATGTCTTATTAGACTTTCTACCCCACCTCTAATTAACAATTAAACGACTTTTGAGTAAATTAGTGCATGAAGGAATAAATGAATATACTCCCTACTCAAAGCTTTTTTTTTTTTTTTGAAAGTAAGTATGGTATGATTACAAACAAACAATGATACTACATGGGAGTTAAGAGGTGTTAAGAGGTAGAATGATCCTGGGCCAACAGGTGGTATGGTGGTTAAGGCACTGAATCCCACATAACTAAATTCGTAGTTTGAGTACCAGACCTAGTAGTTGGAAAAACATGCCA